AAGAATCCAGTTTCTGCTGGTTTAACTCTTCCAGCCTCAGACTGGTTGAACTGGGCAGCTCCCAGTGTGAAACTGGGATCAATGTGATCAGACTGCATCATGCTGAGATCAGAAAGTAACTGATGATTATTCTAATAGCTCTGCTGGATGGAAGCAAAGATCATCACCTCTATAAAGACGCTGGCAGCTCTCTGACAGTCGCCTGTTCCTTTGGTTTCTGGGGAAGAAACAAATCCTTCTGCAGAGGAGGATGTGGAGCAGATGAAGTTCTGGTTCAGACTGATGGAGTCAGAGCTGAAAGCAGCAGATACAAGATGGAATATGAAGAACAAAAGTCAGGAACAGTTCTGATGGTGACCATCACACAGCTGATCCAGACTGACTCCGGATGGTACCAGTGTAAACTGGATGGAAATGGTTCGATAAGTTCATACAGAGATTTTCATGTCACGGTCAGAACTGGTGAGTTTTTACTGGTGTTAAAATGTCCCTAATATTGTAATGGTGGTAATGTGTACATGACCTCATGTCATATCTTAAACCCATCTGAGTTTTTACTATGCAGATTTGTTCAGCACCAATCTTGAGTCTTGTTTGGTTATTTTCCAGCAGTCGTCTCATCAGCCTCCACTCCAACAGCAAGTTTCACTCCTGCAGCATCTCAGCTCCCTTCCAGTCTCTGTGAGTGATAAATAATATCTATGAATCTCCTGTTTACCTTCTGAGCTGATGCAGCATCTGGATGTTTGTTTATCTTTTGAAGTGAAAATAATTTTCTACAGACGTTTTAATGTTCAGAAAGAAACTTAAAAATGATTAATTTCTTTAAAAACATCAGAACAAAGCTGTGTTTTCATGTTAGTGTCAGACAGCTTTGATCCGGATGAAACATTTCTACAGAGAAACTTCACAAACACTAATTCATTATGAGTCTATACCCCCTGTTGAACCTGTACCGTGATCCACCAGCAGGTGTCAGTGTGAACCAGCTTGTTGTCCCTCTGCAGATGTTCCTGTGATCGTTGGTGTGACTCTGGCTGCCATGGTGGTTCTGGTCTCAGCAGCTCTGCTGGTTTCCTGCAGGAGACGATCTCTGAGAGGTGAGACACCAACTAACACCAGCACTCAGTTAAAGGAACCACAGGAAGCCGACGGACTAAACCAAACTGAGACTAATTTTAAATTAAGTAAATTCTATTTTGCGACAACCTGGTTTAATTATATAAAATAATGACAGACTGGTAAATATCACCTGTGGTTCATTTGAAATTAAATCTTCTTCCACAGTTATTGTCTGATAAAGACGTAGAAAAACCTTAAAATCA